TTTTTTTTTTTTTTTTTTGAACAGGTCCTTAAGGTCCTGGCTCCATATCCATTCTGGGGAGCATCAGTCCGGTTCCTATTCTCTCGGCAAGTCAAAATTGAATACATAATAGCACCCACTCACGCTTCCTACCGTCTGGCCGGAGGAACCCTGACCAGCATTGATTGCTCCTGCTAAGGAGGATTGACTGTCAGCTTGCCCAGGCTGCTTGTTCCTCTCAGGCTTCTATTCAGAGCCTGTCAAATAATTCCTTGCACAATGAGAACAGCGAAAGGGTCCGCTACAAGCTATGTTGTTTGTCATTGTCCTTCTCTGTGTACCCTTTGAGTATTGTTGTTGATCACAGTTCCGACCCTTCTGCCAGGTAGCATGGTGGGGCCCAATAGCCATTGTGGTATAGCCTGGTGCCATTTCTTCCCTCTCAATCTGTTGTCTACTATCGAGCCACCTTGCCCTTTAGCAGCCATTCTCTCTTGAATGTCTGCTTCCTGGTTGCTTGTCTTTCTGGTATGTGTTGCGTAGAGGTCGCTATTCTCCGCCATCTGGTCCGGATTTCCGTCTCTGCCATGCTCAGTAGTAGAGACCACATTTCTTCCTTTGCCACCTCTGCTCCCTCGATTGTCCGGGTGCACCTGCGCTTCCATATTACCCACAGTGCCGATTTCCTGAGCAGGAGGAACCAGAATTCCCTGCTGCCCTTGATGTTGCTGGGAGTGTTAGATAGCAGTAAGATGGAGAGGGCAGGGATGTGGGGGGGGGGTGTTGAAAACAGGGTCGACCATAGCCTCCAGATCTTCTATGTTGCTTCTGGACAGGATAGGAGGCAGTGGGGGATGTCCTCGGGTGAGTTGTTCTTGCATATTGAGCAGCATTCCAAGCTCTCCGGGTCGGAATGCTTTCTTCTTGCATGTAGCCATTGGTTGATGGGAAGGGCTGTTTGTGCTATCAGCCATTGCATGCTGCGTATGCGATTTGGGCGGATAAGAAGGTATTTAGTCCAAGGGATGGTGATGGGGTTCGCAGGGTTAAGGTGAAGGATGGTTCTCCACTTCTCCGCCAGCCTTGGGTCCGGGTCAGTGGTTTTTATTCCGTGGTTATAACCGAACTTTACATCGTATTCCGTTATCGCCCTTGGTTTCCCGGTGGTGCCCAGGTCCCATATCCACTCCTTTGGGTCGAATTCTAGGTCCTCGATGCCGAGTTCCGGCTGGAAGATGAGCCAGGGTTTCCTGTGAGAGACTCTAACCTTCCTTAGCAAGAAGGTTTCAATTTGTGTATGCTGTGGCGGTTTGTTTAGGGCCTCTAGTTCGTGTAGGTTGTGTCTGGCAATGGGGTAGGAAATGAAGTTGGCCTGGTAGTTAGTTGGGTGTGGTTTGGACATGAACCGGTAGGCTCTGTTGGGGAGGATTGTGTGGTGAGTAATCCCCAGTCGCTTGGTTTCCACGTGTGTGTCTCTTTTAGGAGGGCCGTCCATGAGGGGGGGATGCTGTGATGAATTTCCGATAGGTTACTGGACAGTGAGTGACAACCCTTCAGGGTGGTGCGCAGATCCTGTTCATTAAGCCACTCTTGTCGGTCTTTGGACCACAAATGTTTGATCTGCCATACACCTCGTTCTACCCATGAGAGCCATCTGTGATTCTGCGGTCTTTGGGTCGGAGGGTCGAGGGCTTGCCCTCTATGCCTTTAATCCAAGGATTGCAGAACAGGGGCTGTCTTAGGACTTCCTCTTTGTTGCGCGGAGAGCCTTTCTTTTCTGGCACCAGTCGGCGCCAGGCTTTCAGGATCGGTGACCGGTAGGGGTTGGTTGTGGTGGAGGGATGAGAGGGTGTTGAGGTCGTCTGCGAACATCAGTGCTGTGGGGAGAGCGAAATCGTGAAGGGGATTGTAGTTTTGTTCGGCCAGGCGGTCTATGGATGGGTCCTTGCGCAGAAAGGAGGCAATCATTTCCATTATGGATAGGAATATCGGTGGTGCGAGGGGGTCGCCTTGGCGGACTGATCTCGATATCGGATAGGTGTCTGATAGTATTCTGTTTATCTGAACTCTGCCTGTGGTGTCGCCATATAGTACTCTTACCCACTCTCTGAACTTTGGGCTGACTCCCATCTTCTCCATGCAGTCGTGGAGGAGGTCCCAGTTGACTTGATCGTAGTCCTTTTCAAAGTCGAAGAATAGGATCGCCGCCTGCATCCGTTTTTCTGTAATCTTCTTTGCAGCATCATTCAAGGCCATCACGTTATCAAGAATATATCGGCCTGGGAATAATTGTCAGTTTTAAGTTTTAACTAAATGTCTGTTTAGGGAATGATGAAGGCCAACCGCCAAGGAAAGAAAAAGGAAAAGATCTGGCTGTGGTACCAGAGAAACTGCAATACAACGGAGTTCGCCTATGAATAATTGTTCTACTAGGGGATGAAGGCCAACGACCAATCAGTCAAAACAGTCAGAGGACTCAATTTTAAAGCAGATCCTTGCATGTGAAACAGAGTACCAAAAAGGATCTGCTTATTGTATATAACAGGACAGCAAACACCTTTTGAACAAGGTGGATCAGGTGGCTCTTCCCCCCCCCCCCGCCCAGCTGGTTTACATTGCATTTGTGATGATGTCTGCTTTGGCAGGAGGAGCGAGGAAGGCTTCCAATAGAATTCCTGTTGAGGAGCAGGAGTGATTCAATGCAACCTTCTGTAGGGCCTGAGACTATGGCACCGAACGCTGCAGAAGTGAATGTTGACGAATCCAAGGAGAAGGTAAACAGAAGCAGCAGCAAGAAGAAAGTCTCTCTTTCTCGATGTTCCGGACTTTCCATGTTTGTCGTTGATGAACTGAAATATTGCAGGATAAGGTCATCTGACGGTGTTGTTTGAGACTTTTTTTTTTTTTTTTTTAAGGCCCAGGGTGTAGTAGAGAGTGGTGACCAGGCCTCAGGAGGTGCCCTGGTACTCATCCATTGGGAGGTCAGATGGATTGCAGGGACCCTAGAGGAGTCACCTCTCAAGATGGCAAGTAAGAAGTGTAGGCTTCCGTTAAACCACCAGTGCACCCAGCCTGGTGGCGCTTCACTGCGCGCCGAACCGCCAGCGGCCCACCTTTTTTCTTTTTTTGGCTGGTGCCGCCAGCCATTGTGGTCCAGTAGTGCCGAGCCGTGAACTCCAGTACATGCCATATATCGGCCGCAGGCCCCTTTTGGAGGCTGAAACTCGACGCCATCCGCCAATCTATTATATTGACTGCACGCCCGCTCCGACTTTTTCAGAGTAGGTGACCAACTGTTCCAATTCTCCACAAGGACTACGTGCCATGTATCGGCTGCGGGCCCCTTTCGAAGGCCGAAACGCGACACCAACCGCCTATCTAATTTATCGACAGCGCACCGGTGCCCACTTTTCGGAGTAGGTGAAGAACAATTCTCCATAAGGCTGGGGCCATGTACTCCTGGGTACCTTCCAAAAGGAGTTGAAGGGTACCTTTTTTTTTTTTTTTTTTTTTTTTTTTCCGAAGANCCTTTTTTTTTTTTTTTTTTTTTTTTTTTCCGAAGAGAAACCCTTGGCCTCCTGCCTCCGAACGCACCCCCACCTCCCTTCCAGTAATGACTGTGGCATACCCCTCTTATCCTTCAAAATGGAATCCCTGCCAGGCTGCCACACCCATATTATGTCGCTCTCAACGGCATGCACTGAGCGGCATGATGAATGCGCCACAAATACCTGAGGCGAAAAGGAGTGGTATAAAGTTACGACTGTGAGGCGGACTAATGCCATCCCACGACGAACACACACGGGCGTCCCAACACATTGTATCATACCACTCGCTGTCTCAGGGAGGGAGGAACAGAGTGTTAGAAGAGGACTTGGCACTGGCCAAAGGCGGAAAGCATTATGGAACAGAAAATGGACAGGTTCATCGGTTTGGGACATTAGGCCTACTCTAGATAGGTGGGCGAAAAGGGACTGACTAGATCAGCACTTCAGCAAGGGATAGGGCGTGTGGTGGAAAATGGTCTGGGAAATCTGTTGGGGAGTGCAGGGGGAAGGAGGGCTGAATGCTCGTCCAATCCTGGAAGAACAGGTGATAATCTCTGAGTTCCTGTAAGCTCTGCTGGTCCCTATCGGGCTCATTCCCAATCCATTCTACTTTGGCAACCCATCCCCCCTGACTTCCCCCTAGCCAATCCGTGCATAACAAGGTGATCGCCTGGTCAATATCCCTGCTTGTTTTGAAAAGGTCCAGTTGGGGTTTGAGGGCGTGCCACCTTCTCATTAAATCCAGTTGTATTTGCTGTTTGATCTGCTCAGTCACCTCTGTGCCCTTGAACCGCACCCCCTCAATGGCCAGGCGACAGCGTTGCCACCAAAGGGCCCACAGTACTGATCGCGGCCTAAACTATGCATGTTATCGGTAAACGTTGATGCCTCATGCGCTGGTGGCCAGTAACCTGTCAGGATGGCCCACTAGGACCAGGGCCAGAGAGAGTCAGGTACTATCTTCCGCCAAACCCGATCCCACCAGCGCCAGGTGAGCTGCGCGTTGGGACACTGCATAAAGATCCGTTTGATGTTCTCAGCCCTTTTCCGGGGGGGAAGGGCGTGCAGACACCCCGGGCACCAGGGGAGGGCCTGACCTTTCTGTTCCAGGTTAGTGTGGTCCACCAGCCAGTTGTAAGTTGGCAGGCACTGGTGACCTATCTACCACTGCAAGGAGGTGATCTTGACTGGCTTGGACTTCCGTCTTGGAACCAGGGGATCAGCGTAAGGAGATGACCGTCCACGTTTAGATGCTTGACCCATATGTCATTGACTACGTCCTTTGAGGGGCGTTGGAGCATCTTGTTGGTGGATTTAACCGACAGGCTGTGAAGCTGTATCTCCCTAGGGGGGATGGGGTTGGCCGGGCGTGCGGGAGGACTCCATTTCCACTCCTGTGTATCAAAGGCCAGGTCTTGGATGCCGGTTTGTGGTTGGAAGACTAAGATGTCCTCCCCCACACCCAGAACTCAGACACAGTACAGGTTCTGCTTTGTCTCTCCACTCGAATCAGTTCCGGCTGCCTTGAAGTGTGCCTTTTCTGTTAATCAGGAAGTATTCTACAAGAGCGTCCAGCGGCCTTATCATATGGATTATTCCTATCCGTTTGAGGACACCCAGTACCCCTCCTTCATGGAGCGACCACCTGAGTATCTGATACCAAGACAATGCGCATCCTTGGATGATGGAGTCCAGATGACGCTCAATGTGGAGACAGTAGCGGAGGGTGTCGTGCTATCGGGCAGCAGTTTTCCAGTCCCCTCGTCCACTGTCCCATATGTCCCCTATCGTGATATGCCATATCCGACCCAGCTTTTCCCCTGCCGAGCTGCACATGACCTGACCACCTTGATCCGTTAGCCACCGGTTGCCAAAAAGGGGTTTTGCCGGAAGATGTCCTCCCAGCGGTCTGGAGTGGGTCTGTCTGGAAGTGGAAGTTTTCGCGTGGCCCTGAGGAGGGACGGCCAAACTGGTCTAGAGGGTTGTCCCTTTCGTTATCCTCCCTCACCACCTCCCCCTGCGTGGACGGATATTTACAATGTATAGACCGGAAACGATCCTCTAGCCATGTCAGTGGATGCACTCTAGAAGTCTAGGGGGCACTGCCAAAGAGACGAACTCAATTTCGTTTCAACTCTTGAAGTTCTTTCTTACCTGTTCACACCAAATCGAGTGGCACTTGTCCGGAATAGATAAGTTCTGCCAGTGCCTTATTGCATTGTTTTCTGCCTTATCAGCCAATGACGAAACCAATTAGAAAGGCTATTGTTTTCTCCCTCATCAAGGCAAACAATCTTCTTCTTCTTTCTTTCTTTCTTTCTTTCTTTCTTTCTTTCTTTCTTTCTTTTCTTTTCTTTTCTTTTCTTTCCTTTCCTTTTCTTTTCTTTTCTTTTTTTTTCTCTTTTTTTTTCTCGCAGTATTGCTTCCATGATATTAGGAGCATTAGCAGCAATGGCTCAAAACAAAGTCAAAAAACTTTTAGCTTATAGTTCTATTGGCCATGTAGGTTCCTTTTAATTGTTTTTTCTTGCGGAACTATCGACGGTATACATACAGTCTTTACTAATAGGTGTTTTCATTTATGTAATAATGAGCATCAATATATTTGGAATAGTTTGAGCTTTACGGCAAATTCATTTAAAATATATATTGGATTTAGCTGCGTTAGCGTTGATGAAGCCTATTTTAGCTATTACAATGTCTAATACTATGTTTTCGTTGGCAGGAATACCTCCATTAGCAGGATTTTGCAGCATATTTTCTCTCTTTTTTCCTGCTCTAGGTATCCATCGGTGGAGAATACGAATTTATACTTATACTGCTTACCTCAGGTGCAACTCCACATCACTGTTGATGAAACAAGATTTCATGCTATAGTGTGCTGGATCATGCCGCACAGTATGACAGACTCACTATAGCTTAGCACGGCACTATATAACTCATGTCACACTATGATATGCTGAGCTATGTGTATGATATTCCTCCATCCTTTGGATCTGGCTGTGTGCAGAACAGATTGAGAGAGACGAAGCGGGACCACCAGTGAGAGGAGCGGATGAAGCATGCGCTATCCCAAACAGCATCTATCTGCGGATCGAGTCAGGCCCAAGGTGCCTACTTTATCCTCCTTCCACACTCCTACCATCTTCACCCGAATACAATGCCCGGTCACCATGGCTGTATCTAGACTGAACCTTGCACCAAATGCATGCAATAAATTGCAGTTTCCCAGTGGGGCTGTATACTAACTCCTGTGCCTTGTGTGTTTTGCAGTTGTGAGCATGCCAGGTTTTGATCCCTGGATCTGCCAGTCTGGTGAGTGTTTCCTTATTTCGTCTCTTCCGGGATTCGATCCCAGGCTTTTTTTCGGCAGTTTGTTTTTTTTGGATCTTCCCAGGAATCGATCCCCGGCCCTCTTGCTTGCTGAGCTGTTTTAGGGCATCCCTTACTTTTTCTTTCGCTTTCGCTGCTACCTGTCCTTTCGGCCAACTTCCAGCCTAGATACAGAGAGGCCGTAGGTTAGAGTCTTTTTGGGAAGTCGTAGGTCCAGGCAGTCTGTGGTAGAGAGTAGACTGTCGGGGGAGTCTAGGCAGAAAGCATAAGAGTCCAGCACACGAGGAACTTGGGGGCTTTTCGATTCATTCTTTTCACGGAGGTTTGAGGAGCGGGAGTCCTGGAGCTGCTCCATTATTTTCAGCAGCGAGCTTCTTCATGAGACATAGCTGGCGGCCATAGCTGAGGTCCTCCAGCTAACTTGGTGGCAGCGCTGGGCTGGGGGCCCGTGCGCTGTAGGTGCTTCCTCCGTATTTGGTGTGTGTTGGGGTTTTGGCAGCTGCCATCGAAGCAGACCCTTTCAGTGGTTCTTCTTCGACGTGGCAGGTCTTCATCTTCATCGAGTTGGTGTTCTTCTTCTTCATCATGGGAGCTGCTCTCGCCTGCTGAGTGGACACATAATCTGCAGATGGGCTGCGTGAGTGGTGCAGAGTGACGTGGAAGTGGAAGTGGTGCCATAGCTAGAGTTTGCAGGCTTGTCTGGTTGGATGCTGGAAGTGGAAGTGGTGCCATAGCTAGAGCTTGAGGAAGAGGGAGGAAGACGAATGCTCCCGGATACTTCGGTGGAACTTTTTGTAAATAATTGGTCCATGGGTGTTGATAACGTGGTTGCGATTCTCGGAGTTCGTGTTGTGCTGATTGAACTGGAGAGAGAGAGACGGGATAATAAGAATTGAATTAAATTCAATTCTATTAATTAACTAGGCTGGTCCCCGGGCCGGCCGGCGGCCTGGCCGTCGCCCGGGGGGGTGCCGGGCCGCCTGGCCGGTTGTCGCCCCCGGTTGGCCACCGGGCGCCCCCAGCGCATCACTGTAGGTTAGGTTTCTTTTTTTTATTTCGGCGCTGGGGCCTTTTTTGCCCCTTTCATAGACCGTGTGAACCGCGAAAAAAAAAAAAAAAACGGGGCCGGTAGGCCCGATTTCACCGATTTGAAATCGGGCCCCATCTGGATTGTCGATCTCGAAGATCGATGGCCCAGATTGCACCGATTTCAAATCGGTGAGGGCAGGCACTACCGGCCCCCGTTCCCTGCCCCGTGCTGAAGATGTGCCCCCGACGTCCTCCCTTCCCTGCCTTGCAGCACTGTGTGTCCGCCGGCCTTCGACGCGCAACTTCAACGCGCTTCTTCGACGCACCCCGCCAGCACCTGCCAACGGCCGCCTTCAACAAGGTAAGGGACTTAGTTGGGGGGGGGAAGAGAGAGAGAGAGAGAGAGAGAGAGAGAGAGAGAGAGAGAGAGAGAGAGAGAGAGAGAGAGAGAGAGAGAGA